AAATTTATGTATTTTTCTCTTATATGCTAAAATTATATATTCCTTTTTCTTGATAAGGAAAATTATTACGAATTGCATCTACAATCCAAATGTTAGATATGAATGGCTAGTTTAAATGTTAATTTAAATCTTTTTCCTTTGCAAGGTAAGATGCAATATTTTGTTAGTTTTAAGCAGCAGTTTCTGACAAATATTCATTTTTTGCAATAACAAGGTGTTTAAAGCAAATAGAAATAATGAAAAATGTTACTGTAAGAAGTCTATTCCAAAACAAATTATTCTCTTTTAAGAATAATTTTTTTTTTGTTTGTTTATGATTTTCTTCTGGAGTAATGTAAATATGAGTTACTATCATACACAGTCCCACACAAAACTAATTATAGCTAACCACACCTCTTGTTTATGCAGTTTGTCATTATCAATTATCCTAACCAAGAAAGGGAAAAAACTGTACAGAAATTTTTGTGACCAACAGAAACAATTTCAAAGGATTAAACTGCACACTGATATGTACTTTCTTTGTAATATTATCACAATTATACTTTTTAAATAAGAAATCATAACATCGCATTAACACAAAATTTCATGCATACACAGGGTGTTTAAAAAAGAATCATTCAATTAAAAAAAATCATAACTATCCAGCTTATGTTAATCTGTAGTATGTTAATCTGTGTAAAGGTAGAAAGATGGAAATCCCGAGTTTCATACATTTGGTAACTGGTAGTGTTAAAGCTCTTCCTTCACCCATCACTTCTGTGTTTGTCTAGAAGGTGTTAAAGCCTCTTTCTTCACCCACCACTTCAGTGTTTGTATAGAAAGCAACTTCACAATAGAAATCCTTTTGTGTTCTATGCTTTGGGAAGTGGGAGTCCGTAAGAATTATTCAGTGTGATTTTCATCGACAATATCCTGGTGCTATTCGATATGGAGTGCATTCGATGAAATTTCACATGCAGTTCGCAGAAGTATGCCGATACAGAACATGATATTCTTGCAACATCTGTCTTGTGTGTTTTCTGATGATGTTTATTTTTCAAACCGCACAGGATTCAAATGCTGCAAGCTATTCATAAAGATAACAGAATGGCATGCGGAATTTTGTGAATTCATCCTTCAGAATGAGTCAAAAGATGACAATTTTTTTTTAACATGCTAACATTTAATGACAAGATACTTTTCATTTATGTGGCGGGGTCAACTGCTACAATGTTAAAATATGGGGTGTAGAGCTGCCACATCAAACTGTACAATAAAGAGAGAGACTTGCAAAAAGTTAATGTTTTTTGGCACTATCTCTCGGAAAAGGTGAATGATCCCTTTCTTCATACAGACCCTGTTACAGGAATCCATATATATTGATATGCTTGAAAACTGGCTTTTCCCAAAGAAACTGATTCAGATGGCTTCGTTTTCCAGCATGATGGGGCACCACCACATTGGAGATTGGATGTTCAAGTATTTTCGAACAATCGCGTTCCTCAATGATGTAAACCTGATGATTCAGTTAAACATCATTGGCTTCCGAGATCATTGAAGCTCTCAGTGTGTCATTTATTCTTGTGGGGATTTATAAAAGACTTCGCTTATGTGCCTCTAACTTTCCGCTACATTAGCAGAAGTAAAGATACACATAAAAATAGCCATGGATGCAGTAGATGCAGATATGCTCACAAAAGTTAGGAACAAATCTGCCTACAGTATAGATATATGCAGTGCATACAAAAGTGGACATACTGAGAACCTTTAATTTGGTTTATAAAACTAATCTTAAGTTTCTGTTTTCAGTATTTTTTATAACCTATGCATTTTAAATTGAGCGATTATTTTTGAAACACCCTGTATATTAAAACACAAATTAATTATTATTTTTTTATAGTCATTATTTCAGTTAGTAAGCTCAACATCATCAGAAAATTTGCTTGCAGTTCATTATTAATTATTATGCAGTTTATTAATTATTATGCAGTTTTAATTATTATGCAGTTTATTTACAGCAGTTCATTATTAATTCATAGTGCATATGAACAGAAAACACAAAAAGTAAAACTAGATGACATCCTGCCCTTGCAACACTTCAATAATTTAAATATGCTTATCAATTAAAATTTTTAAGGAAGTAAAGAAAACAGTAAATAAAACATAAAGTAATAGATAAGAAAAGTCCAGGTTTAAGTCTTTGATTAAAATTATCATAATATTAAAAAAGTACTGCAATTTGCAAAAAATACTGCAGTTTCAGACATGCAAGCTATTTCATTGAAATACCAGGAAAACAATATACAGGCACACATATTTTATTGCTTACAGAATTACCAAATTGACTTATTTTTTACATGTTGTCTGTTAATATAATCAATATATCAAGCTCATTTGTTCTGTTTACACAACTGAATTAAAGTTTGATTCAGTAATTTTGAAACAAATGAGCCCGAAATTTGAATTCATATTATTTAAATAATACTTCAGTCTGAAATTTAATCTTTTATATATTTTCAATATTAATGAAGTTAACGCATCCTTTTCTTTTCTTTTTCTTTTTTTTTTTAAACATATACAGGAAAGACATAACTACAAAATTTTCCTTTTCAAACAAATAAGATGTTTAAAACATTACTATTAAAAATTGAGTATTTCTTTCTCTAAATAAGTACATAAACAAAAAACTGTATATTTGTAAGACTTTTAATATATTTAAGAGCATAAAGAATAACATAGCATCTAATATTTATAAATTCTGGAGAAAATTCCTTAATTGAGTGAGTGGAACACAAAAATGCAAAAAATAAAATGTGTTGAGAATAATCATTATCCTATGAGCTCTTTATTACGGGCATTCACACAAACTTTTATTAAGAATTTATATTTACATATATATACACACACAGGCAATTGGTAGTGAAAAGAAAAACTTCATTAAATTATTTATTTATTTATAATTATAGCAAAATGCTATGCAGATAAGAACAGATCTTTATTCTCTCAATCAAATTTGCTTTTAATATCTAATTTTGCAAAAAAACATTTACAATTTTTTTAAAATACATCATTTTTTAAATATGATTTTTTTAAAATATTTTCATAATTCTGATACAAGAAACTTATTTCACGTTGACTTTCTTTCATAATATTAGTCACTATATTTATTAAAAAAGCCACATGTTTGCAATTTGATGAAAGATTTCTCTCATAATATATATTGAATTTTAATATATTTATCATTTTTGTATATATAATGATAAATACTTATGTACTCGTTTTGGCAGTATACTAAAACTGGAATGATACACAGATTTATTTCACTAAAATAAGATTTGAGTAGGAAAAAATAAAATTTCTCATTTCCAAAATAGATGGATTGTCAAACAGGTATTTTAAACTTTATCCTACAAGAGTAACTTATGAATTTTGAAGCTAAAAATTTAAATATTTATGGCTGATAAAGTTAAATGCATAAACCTAAGGACAATTTAAAAATATCTTTATAATATTAACTGTTAATGGTAAATTCTATTTCATATATGCTTGTGTCTTAATTTATTACAAATGGTAAAAAAGGTCTATATAACATATAAATGGAAATTAAATTTAATATAAGAATTTGCTTGAGTTTTGGCAGTCTAGCATCAGTAACGTGTGACATACCACAAATTATTCCACCGCTTACCATAGGAAAAATGGCCTTGAAAACTATTACAATGGTTAGTTTTAAGTATTGATTCAAACTTCTGCACGTACAAACTTGCATAAAATACAGAATTCCCTCATAATTAAATTTTATATAAGAATTCAGTAAATTTCAAAATTCTTTTAAAAATAACACAAATTATAAACAAATTCTATCTTTAAGAGCTTATGGATGCTTTTAAAATACTAAAGAAGCATTTCTGACACAAGTGCAGATTTTATTTGCCAAAAATAGCAAAAAGATTGCTCTAAAAAATTATTTAACATTTAACCAAAATGTTAGTTGAAAAAATTTAATCATAATGTACAAGTTCATCTGCAGTTTTAATGCTATTTTATCTATTCACAGATATAATTCCATTAGCAGCAAACAATTTGGAACTCAGACTCAACATGAAAAAATCAGTATCATTATTTTATAAGAAACAGAGATATCTAACAACTATTAATAATAAATAGTTCGAAGTTATGATTATTTCAGCCAAAGAAAAGAAAATGAATTGCGTGGAAAAAAAAGAGAAAGAATGTGACGACAGTATTACAAAACCAAACACTTTTAATTATACTAAGTATGATGGTTCATATTAGATGGTGAAAAAAACAACTACTTTTTAAAAAAAATTTGGATATTTTGATTAAATTACATTTAACAAAATCTCAACAAGTCTAGAAAACAACATTTCTGTACATTTATAAATACAAAGATATTAAAATACTAATTTACAACTTTGGACCCCCAATCCTTTTTACATTCTTTTTTGCATAGAATGTACATTCAATCTTTATCTTTCACATAATACATATCATATTACTTGCAGAATAATGATTAAGATTATATAAACAACTTATATTAAAATTTCATTTTGGTAACAAATTTATCTAACACGAGAAAAATCTTTGCCGTGAATAAATACAGTGCATTAAAAATGAAGAATACATGAATAAATACAGTGTATTAAAATTGATAACAATAATCGGTTTTCTCACAACAATTAAGTATTGTGTAAATAAATAATTATCTTATATTCTCAAAATAGCTGCACTTCATATGAGTAATTGAAGAATAAAATATAAGTAAATTTATGAATACAGTTTCAAGCTCTGTTGAGTAGAAATCAATGAGAAGCTAAATATCTATAATTATTTCTATAGAAAATTGAAATACTAACAGAAATTATATAAAGAAAATATCTTTATGTAACTTCTATAATTGGAAAGTTTAATTAAAAGAAAGGACTAGAAAACCAGGCAAATTTAATGACTTTATGACTTTTGCACACTTTCTTAGAAATCTTTGTCATGGTAAAGGATACTTGTATTTCCAAATAGTGTTCTCCTTAAAAAATAACTGTAAAAAATATTAAAAAATCATGGTTAATGTAAAGTTTTTTGATAAAATGAAACACTTATTTCTCTCTTATGTGATTTCTAACAAAGAATGATACATAATTTGATAACAACTTGAATGTAAAAATTTACAATATTAAGGTAGAATTTTGTATGCATAACGAGAAAAACTGATCATGCATTCATTATATACCATTAAGTCCTTATTCATTTACAGTTCACAGTTTCATTATTTTAAATATTAATCAGCTAGATTTTTTTTTTGAGCCGATCACTATTTAGAGTTGTTACAGTAACAATAGCAGTAATATATTACAGCAACTGAAAGTCATTTGATAAATAAGAGCAATATAGGACTGTATTTTGATAGTTTACAAATTGTTAATGTGATTAAAAATTATCAAAATTTTTTAAAAACTTAAGGAAATTGGAGTTTTCTGGATATTCTTCTATAAAGCAGATAATGTAAATTTTTTGATTCAGTTAATCACGCATTTTTTTTTTTTTTTACTGTTAATATGATTTCCACATAATTTTAATAGCATTAAGTACTGTTTCATAAATTAGTTATTAAAATAACCTATCTAAACAAAAGTTAGAGGAAATCAATCCTATTCTAGCAATTTACAATAATATTCAAAAATAATTTTTGATCAGATGTGTAAAAAATTTTAGACATATTAGTGCTAACAGTAAAGTTTATCAACAAGAAATTTTAAAGATTAGGATTTAGATGCACATTGGAAGGGAAGCCTTTATACAGTCAAAAGTCGTTAATTCGGACACCCATAATCCGGACCTCAAAGCTAAAATCTTTCTGCGCATGCGCATAGGCGTTTACGCGTGCGCGCAAGACTTTTACGACTGTGCATATGCATCTGCGCAAGCGCAGAATACGTTTTCACGTGCGCGTTTAATGTATAACGAACGGTATAAACTAAAATTATCTAATTATCTATTTCAGTTAATGCTGATGATTGTGTTGTTCCTCAATCTTTAAATTGGATCCGGCTTATTATTTTTTGCAGACTGTAAAAGCAATTTTATAAAAGTAAGCTTGAACTTTCGATTATGTCAAATAGAATTTCCAATGCTGGAGCTCCCAAAGGATCTAGAAAACGAAAGTATGTTTCGATGTCCATAAAACAAAAAGTGGAATTGCTACAAAAAATGGATAAAGGCATATCCTTTGTTTATCTAACCGTTCCAAAATCTGTTTATCAATTTCACGCTGCGGGGGGGGGGATCTGTCAGCACTATCGTTATCTTCAGGGCAGATGTTTTTAATTTATTCGGCTTATAATTCCTTACTAAATGTAGTATTTCATCTCGATGTACTCCGTCTTTGATATAATTTAAATTAAATTCCTCGTCATTATAAATATCATGAATACAAATCAAATAGTTTTCTCGTTGCAATTTTCTAATTTCGGCAATTGCGTAATGTATGCTTTACGCATGAACACATTGAAACAAATGTTTAATAAAGTAAACAAATAAATATTAAGCTTCTTTTTTTGTAAATTTTGATACCCTGTAGATCATAATTGCTCATTATTTTATAAATTACGGTTTCATATTTTTAATTTTATAATTTCTGCATGCCATCTTACCAGATTTAAACTGATGATCTATGATCCGGAAAAATCAATAATCCGAAATCGTCGAAGTCCCGATGAGTCCGGATTAAAGACTTTTGACTGTATAAGTTATTGAAAAATTTTTTATATTATGTTAGTTCAGTTAGAAAACCAAATAAAAGACACTGCTAACTGTTTTTGAAATAGAGGTGAAGGTTTGGCTGGACATTTCTATCATAGGGATACAAAACATTGGATAACTTTGTTTATCATGCACACCTAAAGTACTGCATGCTATATTCATTTAGAACTTATAACAGAACTGTCTACATAAGCATCTCTTTTGAAACATTATATGGGTAGATAAGACAAGCACTGGTGGTTTAGTAATGGCATTAATAATTTCAAATTAGCTAAAAATATTCTTCAATAGGTCTACAACCACATATTTCCAGCTTCTCATCAGCAAATTGAGTTAATTCAATTTTTAGCCTACCTTCTGCTTCTTAGAAAGGCGAGTCATGAGAACATCTTATTGGAATTTTAAAACAAAATAATAATAAAAAAAGTTCATTGGTAAAGCTTCTTTAGAGTAAGAAGAACTGTAAATTAGGAAAACAATGGATATCAACTTAGCTAAATATTAGATACTGAATATTTGGCTATCTGATTGCTAGATGTGAATTTTATTTTAGTCGAATTCTATGTAAAAAATAATGCTGATATTAATGGGCAACACTTTTGCACTAAAAGACATTGAATATTTATAAACAATTAAAATTAAACAGAAAAGTATAAAATGCAGAAAAGAGTTCTGTTATGAATGGAAAAACCATATTAATTTTAATCATACAACAAATCTGAGCTAACTACAACTCACTGGAAGCATTTGGATTTTTATAGATGATATAACTGAGATGTCTAGATCCTTATTTTAAGTGCATATTATTCTGATACCATAAAAATTGCTTAAAATAAAGTTGTAATTCATTAGAAATGCATTTACAATATTTACATTTCAGGGAGCCACAGAATGCAATGAAGTTCCAAACTTTTCAGAAGATCAATGGTTGCTAATTAAATATTGTTTTCATTTACTTGGAAGAAACCATTAAAGAAACAATTTGATGTGTACACCATGACTTCCTTGTACAGAATATTAAATTATATGCATTTTTTCTTGCATTTAATTTAAACTTATTGTATTCAATTAAATCTACTTCGTCGATAGCGCATAAACCACAATAGAATAAATGCACTCTTTAAAATTCACTATACTTGTTTACCATAGCGACACTTTGGCACTAGGCTCACTTTAACAGTGTTACATTTTGTTCATACTACAACTCATAATGCACAAAATTTATATCATTTGAAGAATTATCTAATCATTGCCACATGTTCTATTCAAATAATATAATAAATCTAAAACGATGTATAAAAGAAATTAAGCAAACAAAAAAAAAAAAAAAAAAAAAGAAACAGTTTTTCACAGACGATTTAATATTTCTCATTCAATTAATTCAGTTCTCACTTTGCAACAAGGCAAAAATACATATAAACTCAAAATATCTATATTAAAAATTACAAAGTAAATCTTAAACACTTATTTCCTCAAATAAATTCCAGAATGGATTAAGCTTGATTTAATTCGCAATACTAAAAGATTGGATTGGATTATTTAATTATGCAAATCACACGAGGGCTATCTGCCTAAAGGGGGTATGCCTTTGTGGAGGACTTTCTAAGGGAAACTGGCTTGTATACATGTTACACATGAGGAAAACCCCGAAAACGCCCATGCAGCCAGCCCGTTCGCGGGATTCGAACCTCGGACCGAACTACCAGTGTTCAGTGTCTTTACCGCTCCGCTGGTGGGCCAATACTAAAAGAAGGTGTTATCTTTGTTGTTACAAAGCTTAGTTTCTCTAGATTGGCAACAAATCTGCTATTCTGCCAAGTTTGAAATGTAAACAAACACGGCCACCATGGCAAAAATAATTAGGCTAAGCCATACTTAAACAACTTTTAAATTGTTGATAATTCTACAAATATTGCATGCAGATTTACAAAAGGCATAAAAACCTTAAGCGGAAGATAAGAACAACACAAATGAATCATTTTTAAAGCAAAAAATGAACAAATGACAAACATATAAGAATAAAGAAAAGAAACTGAGATCACTGAGCCGAGTAACATGGCCGATTGCAACCAAAGTATGAGGTCCACATCTACATGTTATGGCAGTCTTATGCACAAAATTTCAATGGTCTGAGGCTACTTGTTTTTGAGTTTTCGAGATATGTACATATGTACATACGCCACGAAAAATTCTCTTTAGAATTCATTTAAAATCAATTAATAATAAATTTATAATTTTTTTGGGGGGGGAAGAGTCTTTTATTCTGTCCTTATGTACAGATGTCGTGCAGAAACATTTTTAAATTGCATTCGATAGTGGTGAAAATTGATATTTTTGTTGAAATATGATGCCTGAAATTTTTCAGTCATTACAATACTTCCTTTTTACTTCATACAAGGAAGTAAAAAAAAGAAAGAAAATCTGGAAGAATTTGGATTTTAACATTGCACCAGAGGATTTGTCAAGTTTTTTATGCTGTTGCTGAGCTTTGCAGGTTCAATCGGGCCTTGGACTCGCTCCTGGTAACAATTTTTTTTTTTTTTGTTGTCTTTTTAGCCTTTTTATTAAGCATTTACTTTCTTCACATTTACATCACATACAAGTCAACAACAAAATCACAAAATTTTAAAAGCAGCATAGCAGCAGAAATTTGGAATTCACGATACAGTGTTTATTACTGGTATACGTTTTCCCAGTTTATCATATCAATGTTTAGTTTCCTTAGTAAGATGATTAAAAAAAAAAAAATTTTTTTTGACTTTTTATTGTTGATTTTTTTTTTAAATTTTTTTTTTTTATAATTAAATATCGCATTTTTACACTTAAGGCACATAAATATCAATAACAAAATCACAAAATATTTAAACATACATATCTTTAAAATTCCAGGTAACATTTAGGGCTTGATATACTTTTTTATAGTTGCTTATTATTTCTTTAATCCTCTGCATATGTTATACTTTCTGGTTTTGAAATACAGGACGATTTTTCTACATTTTTTCCATCTATATTTATCACTATTTAGATCTTTATCATCAGAATTTGTTAATACAAGAGTTTTAATTGCTTTTTGAGCTTTTAAATTAGAATATGTATGATTTCATAGGCATAATCTGCAAGTTAAAAAATTCTCACAAATTTTTTTTTTTTTATCTTTAGATGAATTTCATTTTAATCAATGTAGTAAACAATTGATTTTTATTCAGTCACGAAAAACCAGTTTTATGGACTAATTATTATAAAAATATATACCAGATTGAAAATGAATACTGCTAATTATTCTACTGAGCATAAAAAAACTTGGAAACATGTAATGTACATAAAAAAAAAACTCTGTCGGCTAAAAGTATATATAAGAAAAGGCTGCTTTCAAAAGCAGATATTCTTCATTTTAAAAAGAGCAACAGAATTTTCCCAAACATATTGAACAATACTATTTTCATATCATAATTTTACTAATTTTGAAAATGAGAAAAATGTGCAACATAAATGAATTTTGTGTAAGCTTCCTACAGGAACAATGCACCAGAGAGAGAAAGAAAGAGACACCCATACTTAGATTATTAAGCAGCCCACAACATGTTAAAATAATATAAGAACACAAAGTTCATAGATAATGTTAAAGTAATTAAAACATCTTTATGAATCCACGACAATGGATTATTATCTATTTAATTGGCACATATGTCAGTGAACATTTCTTTAGTGTTAAATCTCTCAAATTCTCATTGCACTTAAATGTCCTAAAAGGCTGTCAAATTTATGATTTGCATTCAAATGTCATCTGGTAACATATGGTGTAAAGCTGTATCAAACTGTCTGAATAAAAAATTCCTACTGATGGGTGGTTTGGGTGAAATTATTAAGTATCATTGTCATATTATCAAACACTACTCTTAGAGAATCGACTTGGGGAATATAAAAAGTAAGGCAGAGTGTGTGCATCACAGGTGACAAGAATTATGAAGTTTAAAATATGAAAAACTGAGGATGTTTTGCAATAACTTTTGAAGCATATTTAGATTGCAACTTAATCTCATTATCAATTAAATGTGCCTTCATTAGTAGAAAGTTCATATGCTAAATTGGTAATGATACAATATTTAAAAAGATATTTACCTGATAAGTAGCATACTGTATAAGAAACATATTTTAACTACAGTAACACTGAAAAAACTATCATTTACATATGTGTTCTTATAAGACATTGATAGCAATATTTTGGCAGGCTGCATTGAAGATGAATTAAAGGTCTTATATCTTGTGCAATCGCAACACTTTCTAAATTGTATGAATGATAGAATTTTTTCCTTCCAGCACAAAAGATAATATATAAAAATATAAATGACTGCCACAAGAAAAATACATATACATAAGAAAATACTGACATACCTTTCCACAGTATTCAGTACCAGATTCTAAACGTTTCTTTTCTTCTTCTCGCTGTTGTTCTTCCAACTGAAAGCACAGAAATAAATATCATACAGAAAAATTATTAGCAAATAAATTAAGATACTTTTAATTGTATATTCATACAAATGTAAAAATTTACAATGCTCTAATGAATTCTATTAAGAAGAAAATAATATATGTTATTTAATATAATGACTTACTTTTTGCTTTTCAGCAGCAGCTTTTTCAAAATTTTCTTCAAGAAGTGCTTTAGTGACATGCTGCCACAGATTTCGTGATTCAAACATATCCTGCTGATCCAGCGGTCGAACATGTTTCCGATACCTTTTTAGTTCTTGAACATTTAATGTTTCAGTATTACCCTGACAAAATTCCAATAACTAATCATTACAAGTACAGAGTTTAAGTATCTATAATATATGTATTATAATCTCCAAATCTTGTTTTACTGCTACATATATGAATAACAGTAAATGCTTCTCTTATCATGTTCAAGAATTACTTGGTGCTACAATAAAATTCAATTCTATATTATAATAAGAAAACTGAGAATATTGCTTAAGAATTTTCCAATCTACATGAAGTACACACATGTCCATAAATTAAGGATAATGCAAAATCAGGCAAAGGAAGAGTTAGAAGCAAAACAAATTTAACTTATTTGTAAAGCTTATTTATTAAACAAAAGGTAAAGAGCAAACAAAGATGCTATAAGTTTGATATTATTAAAAAAATTAGGGATTTTTTCTCCCTGGAGCAAATTACAAAAGAAAAACCTATTTACAAAAAACAGTATTACATGGTTGGTATGATTGTTAATACATTGTATATCTCCCAGATGATACAATACAGTCCGTACAACGCCTAGGCATGCTGAGTATCAAATTATCGATCTGATCTTGGCGGATATTACACCACTCAAAAAGCAATGCTCTCCGAAGTTCCGGTAGACATGTAGGAGGAGGTTGACGGGCTGCAACTCGTCGGCCAAGCATGTCCCACATGTGCTCTACTGGATTCTAGTCCGGTGAGGATGCTGGCCAGTCCATACGGGTGATATCCTCCGATTGAAGGCATTCGCTTACGACGTTTGCACAGTGAGGAAGGCCGTTGTCATCCATAAACACAAATTGTGATCCCATGGTGCCCCGAAATAAACATACATGTTGTTCCAGAATGACACCCAGATAGATATGGTTTGTCATGGTTCCAATTTGAACATGCAGGTCAGTTCTGGAACTCAGAATAATTCCACCCCAAACGAGCACTCCTGCACCACCGTAACGGTGTCGTTCAATGAGTTTTCTTGGTGGTAACGGGTACCTGGAGCTCTCCATATGAAAGTACGGCGAGAATCAGACTGCAAGCTTAACCTGGACTCGTCGGAAAACATCACACAAGCCCACTGTTGTGGTGTCCACAATGCATGCTCTCTACTCCAGGCTAACCATAGGCGACAGTGAGTTGCAGTAAGTGGAACACACCTGACAGGTCTACGAGCATATAGACCAATCTGCCCTAAGCGTCTGTACACGGTCTGCCTTGAAATTGTCGTACCAGTGGCTGAAGAGAGCAAACGAGACAGGATTCTTGAAGATGTGTGTAGTGATTTTACAGGTGATATACAGTCAAAAGTCATTAATTCGGACACCCATAATCCGGACCTCAAAGCTACAAACTTTCTGCGCATGCGTCGCATTGATCTTTGCGGCTGCGAATATTCGTGTGCGCATGCACGTTTAATGTATAATGTACGGTATAAGCTAAGTTAAAATTATCTAATTCAGTTAATGTTGCAGATTGCGTTGTTCCTTAATCTTCGAATTGGATCTGGCTTATTATTTTTTTTGCAGACTGTTAGAGCAATTTTATAAAAATTACGCTTGAACTTTCGATGATGTCAAAAAGAGTTTCCATATATATTTACTGGAGCTGTCAAAGGAACTACAAAGCGAAAGTATGTTTCGAAGTCCATTAAACAAAAAGTGGAATTGCTGCAAAAAATGGATAAAGGCATAATCCTTTGTTTATCTAACCATTCTGAAATCTGTTTATCAATTTCATGCTGCTCTGTGGCAGGGGGGGGGTGCTACACCACAATTATAGGACTTGAACAGTGGAACTTTGTAACTGAAGAAGAAATTATGTCTGTTTATAGAATTAAAGAGAAAGTATTATCACATAAAATGAAGCAACTTAAACAACTTACATTGAAAGAAATGTTTAATAAAGTAAACAAATAATATTTAAGCTTTTTTTTTTTTTTTTTTTTTTTTTTTTTTTTTGTAAATTTTGATACCCTTTAGATCATAATTTTTCTTTATTTCATAAATTACGGTTTCTTATTTTTAATTTTATAATTTCTGCATGCCATCTTACCAGATTTAAACTGATGATCTAGAATCCGGAAAAATCAATAATCCGGAATCGCCGAAGTCCCGACGAGTACGGATTAATGACTTTTGACTGTATTTATTTTAGAGTTCGATTTCGGCATGACTCTGAATTATCCTTAATTTATGGACATGAGTGTATATGATTATCTATTCAACAATCTATAATTAAAAAAACTATCTTAAGGAAAAAAGAATGAAAGAAAGAAGATATCTTAAGAAAATAAGAAGAAAATGCCACTCACAATTTAACCACTGGTATGCAATTTTTATGCATGTACCATTAACACTTGATACATAAAAATAGGTATAAAAAAAGAAAAAGTACAATGACATGAGAATAATTTTCAAGTAAATTTCATGAAAATGATTGCGAGAATAAATGAAAATGATGGATGTAGAAAGCCTACTCCTTAATGTTTAAAAAATAAAAGAATTACATCTTCCTCTTAATTTTTTTAAGGTTCATGGACATACTCTTGCAAAATTCTAATACATAAAATAATAGTTGGTTACTATAAAATTTGAAAATATCACTAATTAAAAAATGATTGCGTTGATTGTTCCAAAAGTTGATAACAGAATAACTGGATACATAATTTTACATTAAAAGTTGTTCCAAAATAAATTCTGATTTGAATCTGCAGTCTCAGAAACCTTAACATCAAGTTACAGAAAACAAATGCATACCCAGTGGCATAGCTAGAACGTTTGCTGTCCACGGTGGTCCCTGAATTTGCCACCTCTCTACGTATACAAATAATTATCAAGAAAAAACAACATGTAAACAAATAAATTAAAATTCTACATTTATTTATTTTTGAAGAAAAACATTACAATTCGAACAGTTTAAATAATATTATTATTTTGTTTATTTTCCTGTTTATTGATACTGGTTTGCTATATTACTCCTTTTGCATGTAGATAGCATAAAAAGATTTTTTAAATGCAAAATATACATTTGCAGTTCTTAAATACTTCAGAAATGACTTTTATTTAGAAAATGCTCTCAACTTGCAACACTTGCAACAACTCACAGGAAAGTTTGTACTAGTATTATAATATTTGGAACTTTTCTGGAGATTCTATTTTAGAAATAGACTGGAAAAATTCAAAAGGTCTGCTCTTAAACATTTCTGTTTCAATTTTCCTAGCACTAACGGAAATAAAACAGTTAAATACATTTTCCTTAATGAGGAATGTCATCATGATTGTAACTTAGCTCATATTTGTAATTTGCATTCAAAAGTTTCACCAAAATAAATAAATAAATAAATAAATAAATAAATAAAATAAAATAAAAAAAAAATATGTAGCTTTAAAATCACATGGTAATTTCTTAGAATTTGAGGTGGTTAGACTGCGTAGAAAATGACCTACTGGTCTTAAAAACTAAAAACTGGAAAATGCTAGCAGGGAGAATTTGTCCTGGAAAACGCTTCTTGAGAAATCCAGGGCCTACCCTGGGCTGTGGGGCCATTGAGGAAGGAAGGAATTTCTTTAAATACTTCATCAAGAGTAAAAATTCTTTTTCTTCAAAATTTAATTCCATATGACAATTTAGAATATAATTATTCCTCGCCTGCCTCGACAATCCATCGGGTTAACTCTATAAAAAATATTTCATACAAAAAGTGCTGCCTTTAAAAATGTGCTGGACAGTGTACCCCCTCTACTCTATGTCACTGCCTTAACTCCAAACACCTTGTTTCAATAAGTGAGAAAAAAAAAAGGTTCTGGAAAAATGAATTTATTATAATTAGTTATTACTCATGAAGTAATAGTAACCAATGAAGTGACAGACTCTAAACTACATTGCCATGTGAGAATCATATTCTTCATTTCTAATAAATAATCATATTGATATTCTCCAAATACATGATCAAGAAAGATGAAACAGAAATAACATAACAAGAATACAGCTTTACTTACATCACAGGAAGTGAACTGCAATATGTTGTTCCATTCTCCACTTATGCGATACACAAGATCATCTACATGTTTAATTTCACCAGTAACTTTATGTGGAGTTCCTGACTGCTGTGGCTAAAAATTTTTGTACAGATTATGATGATATTAACTAATCTTAACACTTAATTATTGTAAAACTGTAATAACAAAATAACAAAACTCAAAAAAAAAAAAAAAAAAAAAAAAACTTCATTAATTTTAAACGAATAATTTTAACTTTTGATGTAAAAGAATTGATTGCACTTGAAAAACAACAGAAAATTATATTGCCAAACCTATGATAAAAGTATTTATTTCATTTAGTGTTTGTATCATAAGTAACACTTAGGAAAAGTAAATATATTTATGCATGTGTAAGCCACATTCCATTTCTGAAATGATATACTATAAAAAATGAGAATCTACTATAAAAAAATACTATAAAAAATGAGAATCTAAGAATTCTGTTGTAGGAAGTAGAGGGATAGTAGAGAAGAATAGAGACATAAATGTACAAAAATGTGGGGACATCATCAGTCTCAAACAAAAGGATGAAATGATGGTTAATGCTTACTGTTGAATGTCTGCTCTGTGCATGTTAAATATGAATTTAGCAATAATAATTTTACACAACAAAATTTAACTACAAATGGTGTATTATTCACAAGAAAATGAAAATCAAATAGCAGGAAGAGCATTTCACATAGATAAAAAACAAGTGGTGATGGATTCAAACAAAGAAAACTTCATCAAAGTTCATCAACTTCATCAAAGAAAATCATCCTAAAACTGGCTTCTGTTCAATGCAAAGATAGCAAAACATCCTTATTTGAAAGTAAATTTTTTGAGACAAACCCATGATATAAATTTTCCATACTGGTTAAAAACTTTCAGTTTGAAGCCTGAAGGATTGCGCAAAACATGAACATTCCTGAACGCAGAGCTACAGCTTGGCAAGATGTTTCGTGACAAAATGAACTCAGGGTCTGGTACTGAACTCGCATAATGCAAAGACTTCCTGATGCTCACCTATGAAGAAAAACTGCTTGTGTTCCAAAAACACATTTTCAGCTCGAAAAACATACATGCCTTTGACCTGAAAGAACTAATTATGGCAAATGGAGGTTCAGTGCTATGGGAGCATGCTGACCACATAGCTAATAAAACTATACCTGACTTAGAGGTGCAAATGGATTGAAAAAGTGTTAAAAATTTCAAAGTTACATCCATTTCCAACATGATGGGTTATTTTAAAAGGTTACACAGTTTATCTCACATCATCTAACAGTCAGATTCAAGTGATGCTAGGGACTTCAAGTAGATTTCCAGTAACAATAAATAAATAAATAAAATACAATATTTTATAAAAAAATCTGAAAGCTTTCAGATTTTATATTATGCTCAAAGGGACATTTTTTTAAAATTTTGTTTGTTATTTTTATTTATTAAATATATAGAAATTATTATATTTGTTCTTCACATTTAACAACATAATTCAATTCAACATAGAAAATATTTAAAGAGAGCAATCTTAGAATTTTTACACAGTCTCGCACGCTTATAAAACTTTTCTTTTTTTCCTACATGTGCCAATTGCTCCTTTTAAATAACTGAGTTTCTTAATTAAAAACTCATAAACACTTTACAAAATATAAAATAGATAATAAAACAAATTCCAAATTAGGGCTTCCAGATCCCAATATTCAGGTTGAGACATACATTATTCAAAATTTGATGGCTCCAGGCACCCTTGCTTTATCACAATGCGAAAAACATACATACATTTATGCAGATTCTTCATTATTCAATTTCTTTAAATACAGGGCTCTAACATTTGGTGGCAACAATTTAAAAAGTGATTCGCCATTTATTAAGAATCAACAGAAAATGCCAAAACGAAATTAATAGCCCTTCTGGGAAAATTGACCCTTTGGGCTAAAAATAAAAATAAAAAAATAGCTCCCAGTTTTAAAAGAAGACACTGATTAAAATTTTATAGTTCTAAGGTACGTAAAATGAATGAATGATGATAAAGAGCTTTAAAACTATTTATTACCTTAAGTACAGGTAGCATCGTAATTTTGTTAAAAAAATTTAGTGAAAAAGATATACTATAAATACAGTATATCCTGCATTTCTGAAGTTAGAATCGTCCATCAAAATACTTAGAAATATTTAACTGGTTTATCTGGCCAAAATATGAATATGAATCTTGATGTTTGAAAATTTTACTGATAAATAAACTAACAATTTTCAGTCTTTTTCAGTTGTTTTGAAACTGAAACAAAAAGTAAATATAATGAACCTGTAAATTACATTTATTTGCATTCCAGCCACATACAGCTAGAACTTTACTTCCAAACAAAAGGGGATCCTTTAGGGAGGGTTCTCAAAGTTCTATCCTCCTAGTATGAGTCTTGCATTCTTTAAGTCTTTTGCAAGACATAAGATAATCTTTATAAAGGTTATTGAATCTTTGTGTTGCAACCGTACATATTTTTAGGAAAATGACTGTGTTCTAACTGGACACTGGATAACACAACTAGGTGATAAAATTATCTTTTTTTTTTCATCTTTGCTGAAGAGCAAAACTCTCACATATTTTTTTATCAAACTATCTGCACTGTTTCTGTGTCAAAATTTCATCTGCATGGCAAGCTTCTGCATTGATGATAAGGTGATAGTTTATTTGAAAAATACAATATGGAGCTAAATCAATATTTGCTAGGAATACAGTTAAACAACATCTTCAAGAATGAAAAATGCAATTTAAAATCTGCTAATCAGAGACCTAGAGTGGGAGATATAGAAATGTGCTCTTTTTTTTCTTTTTTTTTTTTTTTTCTTTTTTCTTTTTTTTTTTTTTGTCTCATTGTACATGAGCATTTAAATAACCAAAATTTTGAAATCAGGATAAACTGTACTATTCCATAATAAATAATTTGGCAGATTACATAGTAAATAGTACAGAGCATTTAAACTCATTTTTATGAAATGCATAATTATTAAAATCAAGCAAGACACCTTCAATAAAGCTCAGATAATATTCAGCTGTAAGAGACCTGATATAACATGCATTATAGTAGGCGCTGTTCAGCGAGATCGTCTTTGTACATTGTCATTTTGATAACAGTAAATAGGAGAAAAAATACCATTCAAAAAGCAATGGAATTTAACTAATTTACTACAGAAATAAAGAACACATAAATACATAGTTTCACAGCATTTTAATTAGGAAAATGCAAAATTTTTTCATGAATTTTTCATAACATTTCTGGAAATAATTTGACTGATGCTGTACTCCTAATTTTAATATTCAAAAGACATCCCTCATTCAAACAGAACATGGCAATGCAAAATTTTAGATTAAACACAAAAGCAACCTTAGTTTGTTGTAGATGTTTTGAGTTAACTCCCCCTAAAGGGAAGGGGGGGAATTCTAAAGATTTTCTTTTTGTGCTCTTGAAGAAGAAAGCCTTGTGTCTGATCATGCTAAAAATTGATAGAGTTTTGAATCAAACTATGGTTGCTTTTTTGCTTGGTTATAAATGGTTGACTGAAATAAAAACCAAGCTTTTTGGCAACTTAACTACTCACTTGCCCATATTTCTCAGTCACTTCTAATTTTTATAATCTACACTGACTTTACTTGGAGAATTTATATTTTATTTGGCGATTTTAGTTAAAAAAATTTATTATATAACAGTTTGATCAATATCAACTGAACTGTTAATCACAAAAACTGATGTATTTTCATGTTTCATATACAAGCAGGCAAATCAATATCAATATCCAAATGATAACATTAACTGTGATCACATTAAGTGTCATCTACTATAAACATATCAAAATTTGGAATATATTTGCCTAATTTATACATAAGTTCAATATTTTTAATGTAATACCGAATAAATGATAACTCATTTACATTAATTCATTACAAATATAGGTTTAAAACATTAAAAATTTACCTTAGTTTGAAACGTAACGGATGCAAGATATCCAGTAGAGGAACAGCTAATAGATACTCGACCTCCAAGTTCTATCCAAGGCACTGTAAGTATGCAACGCAGATAGGCACAGGGTAATGTAAAAATGTATGTTTCACCAAGTGTCAATAAATGAAGAGTCACTGAAAAATATTTAAAAAAATTTTATATTAATTTTAAATAAAAGATTTTGCATTATAATTACCAAGTCGTCAAAATGACTCCACAAAAATGCATATGTTAATCATCAATAACTACTGTAATAACAAGGCATTAACATATTCATTTCGTGTCTAACCAGTAACACATTTTCTTAAGCATAATTTTTTTTTTTTTCAGCAGGACTTCTGAAGACTGTTACACTATAACATCACAATAATCTATTCATTCCTTCCAACAATCATCCCATTTTTTCTCCCTCATGTAAAATATCAAAGACTGCCTCAAAATATAAAGGAGGAGAAATCAAATTTCAGATGTCTACCTAACAAAATATTTCTCTTAGAAGACTTATAATACAGTACAATTTTATAGCACTTTCAGGAAAATATATTTAAAATGATATTAAAATTATGTATCTTAGCATGCAGGTTAAAGCTATAAGACTGTACTACAAGACAAGCTTGATTACAAGGTGTAAGACAAATTACACTATTTCTGCAAGAAATAAGCAGAAGATACAAAAAACTGAGGGAAAAACAAATTAAACAAATATATAATTTGAGAACTTTTGAATATACTACTTATTTTCTACACGTTCTGTAGTTCTATTTATCTATTTACATAATATTTTCACAAAGAAAAAGGTTTTAATAAAATTCCTTCAGAAAATAATAAGTTCTAAATAAAAATAAATAAGATGTAAATTGCAATACATATTCGAAATACTTCTCTCTTTCTTTAACTTAAATTAAATTTTAAAAGTTTACAAATAAATTTTAAATTTACTATTTCAATAACATATATGTTTTAATTTTAAAGAAAATATAGTGTTCTCACCTTCTCCAACAAAACTGACTGCAATATATGATGTTAAAAAGTTTGATTTTATACACAAATGCGCACTCAAAGCAATTTTCTTCTTTGGACATTCAACATAAAATGCTGAGACTGAAAATAAATAAATGACAATTTAAAAATTAGTCAATGTCATGAAAACTAAATTTTGATATGATGACAAAAACAAAGAATAACCACTACAGACTTGTTTAAAAAGGTTTTGTGTCAAAGAAAAGTAGCAAATCTAAATAATTTTGCTTCAAAGTACACTATGTAAGGTGAAGAAAATCATGAAATTTATATGTTTCAGTAATGACCAACCATTAATTTAACCTTTAATCCACAAACATTAAAATGCATTTTTCATGACTCTAAAGAATAAGTTAAAATGTAAATTTGATTTACACATAACATAACCTTAAACCATACGCTGTTCCATAGATTGATTCTCTACCTCACAACATGTGAAAGTATCAAATTTTTTAAAAACTGTATAAACGGAAATATTGTCATGTTATCTACTGCATTCAGTCCTTTAACCCCTTCGTGCCGACTGTCATGTATATGTGCCAGCAACGAACACACTTATCTACTGGCCGACACGCAGGCGTGCCAGAGCCCTGTTGCGTTTTCTACCGACTGTCACGTATTTGTGCCAGTACCTTGGAACGTTTTTCAAACTATAATTTCTGCCACAAGATGGCACTGTATGCCCATACGGTTTCAGATACCTGTACATTAGACCTTCTACTCGAAATGAGAGAAGCATGACTCACATACACGCGTTTTTGATTATATAAACCAACGGGGAACTAAATGTTTTTGAATGTCATGATTTATGACGTCTCTTTAAATCGCACTTTATTCGCACGTGGTAGTTGTTTATTATAAGTAGAAGTTTTATATGCGCTAAAGCATTGAGTATTTCGGTTTACAGTTCAGTTTTTAGAAAATAATTAGATCTTGTTAGACGTGAATTCTTTCTGTTTTTACCGTTTTAATGTCGAAGCGTCGAAAATGTTTAACAGACCATGAAATAGCAGAAATGATGCAAAATATTTCAGATATTGATTCTGATATTCTGATATTGATTCTGAAGATTAACGAAGAATTTTCCAAACTTTGTTCAGAAGAGACTGATAAGAAAATGAGACGACGATGCTTCGTTTGTTCACATTCCCGAAAAATCCTCCAAAACGGCAAATGAGTTTAAGAGTTCAAGAATGTAACGTAGGATTGTGTGTATCCCTGTTTTAAATTTTTCATACGAAAAGAGATTTTAAGTAATATATTTAGTTTTCAGATGTATAATGTTAAAGTCATAAAATGTGAGTAATTAAAATAAAATGTGTAAAATTCATTTAAACAAGAAATAAGGTAATTAAGTATATATATAAAAATATGTATAAAGCATAAGCCGTTTAAATACTCTATAGAGCATTATTAAACAATGCGTTGATACTTCGGAAATTTCATGGATTTAGGCTTAGTATCAAAAACGCCTCCGGCCCTGGAGAGACGCTCGCGGTAGACACTGCCGGCCTCCGAGATAAGCGCGTGTTTTCGCTACCCGCCTCAAAGGGGTTAAGTAAAACCGTAAATGAAGCTATAACACAATCCAGTTTGTGCGCAGATGATATACTAAAATTACTGACTGACTGGCAAATACATTTACAAATTATAGTTATTTGCATTTAAAGTTTGGTGCTAATTTTAAACTTTGTGAAAAAATATAATTTACACAAAGGAAATTTCTAGCTTATGCTCTCAGCTCTTCCCTTCTTCAATGAATATATAATGTTAATGATTCTGTACTTCTGTCACAATATTTTTATTGTTTCAAGAAGAATTTATAAACTTTTTTTTAATTAATGCATTCAAAAGTGGTTAAAAAGTGAGAGAGGTATTGAGATCTCTTACAGAAAAATTTATTTCAAATTTCATTCACTTAAATACAGTACAATTTTTATGATTATTTGCTGTACAAAAAAGACTAAAAGAACCTGGATTGGATTATTTTATTATGGCAAATAATACTTGCTTGAGGTAAAAGATAGCTTCATGGAGAATGTATCGAGGAAAAATAGTTCATATTCATGTTACACATGAGGAGGAGGACGGGAAGAAAAGGCCTATATGGCCAGCCTTTTTGCTGGAATTTTGAACTACTAGGGTTCAATGGTGTCATTTACATAGTCATTGGTAAGGATCTACAGAAAGTTTGACCATGAAAAATATTAAGTTATAAAAAACTTTTGAATAACAATGAACAGCCATAAAAATTAACTGAACAATGCTTTAAAATGTTAGGTTAGAAATTTCTCTAATTATCAATACAATCTACATTTTCAATTAAGTTTTACTGTTAATATTTTGTTAGATATATTTCCTGCATAAAATTAAAGGACGGAATTTCCTGCACAAAATATGTCTACCCTGAGTTAATACCATCACTAAATTTTCCATATTGTCACCCATTTTCCCCCTGGATTTTTAACTGTTTAAATAGCTGCCAACTACATGAGAATAAAAATTAGAAAATTTTGGATACATTCAGATGAATGCATATAATGAATTTTACAAAGAAAGCTAATATATGTTTGAATATTTTGTAAGAACTACACCAGAAAAAACTGCCATAAAAATCAGATACATTAAATAAATTTTGAAATACTTACAGTAGTTCTTTTGCTTTTGCTAAAAAGTAATTCACAAATTCTGCTCTGTTCACAAAAATCACACTACAGCCAGAAATCCCACAGAAAAATTGCCTTAACAGCTAATCAGCACTATCAACTTTTTTTAAAATTTTTATTTATTTGACTGGTCATTTCTTTTCCAAAGTAATTTTCTAGATGATCCTCACTGTTCCTAGTAGTGCTCAGAAGCACATGAAGTCTCCACAGAAATATGTGGCTCTCCCTAGATCGTACTTTTCCATAAAAATCTCACCATGGATTTTTGGTGCCATACTGGCACATTTTTCGGTTCTTTCTTTCCACTTGCCTTTTACTTGATACTAAATGGTTTTCTTACAAACTATTCGTCCTGCCCACCCCCCCAAAAAAATTAAATCATAAAAAAGGCAAGAAAAGAAAGGTATGATCTAAAAAATTCAGTTTGTGTTCTGACACTCTTTTCTTTCTGGTATGAATGAAGGCTGTATTTTGACTATGTGTTGAACACAGTCACAAGAAAAGATAGCTCAGTTCATATCTTGACAATCCTAGTTCATAAAAGACACTGACATTAAAAAAAAAAAAAAAAAAAAAAAAGAAAACCTACTACTAGACGAAAAATGTAATTGAAACAGAAATGTTATTAAAGATAATTAACTCCAGAAAAGAAGCCTCTATTACCTTCCACTTCAAAATTACTGGAAAGCATATAAAGGGTGGATAAAGTTATAGTCACAAATAGAGATCAATTACATTTATTCAATCACAATACCAGTTATAGTCATAGAGACCAATTACATTTATTCAATCACGATACCAGTTACAGTCATAGAGATCAATTACATTTATTCAATCACAATGCCAGTTACAGTCATAGAGATCAATTACATTTATTCAATCACAATACCAGTTACAGTCATACAGGGACTGGACCAAAATGCCGCCAAATAGTCGTCAAATTTGGTGATGAAAATTAGTCATCAAAACCATCGGCAGCTTGGTGATTGATATCTTGCTAATTTAGTGAGATAGTCATTTGCTTTATGTTAACTATACTTGCCCCCATATTCTTATTTTTTTCAGCAAGCATTTCATGTTATACAAAAAAATATTACAACTTTACATATAATTTCACTAAAATTATTTACATATATACAAAATTTGTAAGAGTGCGTATAAATAAACTTACTAGGAGGATGATGGGAAACTTGTTCAGAGACATAAGTTACTTTATATACATTTTCAATAGTTTCATTATCACTATTTTCACTAAGATTCCAGGAACAACGAAACATTTCACCAATAATAGGATTATATGGCTTTTTTGCCATTGTAGCCTGAAATTATATAATTCTATGAATAACTAAATATATATATATACATACAGACAGATATAGTTGGCATTTGAAAATATGCAACAACAAATACAGAGTAAGAAAATGCATATAAAATACAAACACAGTTCATCATATCTACAAAAAAAGGAAGGAGCAAAATTCTTGAGTTTTATCTTAAATGTTACGATACCTATTTATTATATCGCAATACCATTATAATATATTGCATGGATTATGGATGTTAAAAATTAATTAACTTATTTTAAATATTAAACTGGCATATATACAGCTACTGCAAAAGGTTTCTTTCAAAAATATTTGTCACAAATTTTTATTTACTCATCAAACCAAATTTGACGAGTCAATATGAAAGTTACAGCTTCCTCAGATAAATTTTCATCCATTACCACAATCATCAACCATTTATATATTTTGTGAACATGCTACAAAGTTTTGTTTCTTATATTCATAACCCTCAATTTTATGAAATAATTAAGCTTTCACATTCATGTTTCTATATATGTAATATACATAAATTAGAAGTTACTTTTTATCTTACTGTGCTCTGCAAGATATCGATTGTTTGAATGATGACTGCTTTTTTCAGTTGGTAATCTTTCATTGTTTTATGTAACATCATATGCATCCTCTTTACATAGGAATAGGTTAGCATATATCAGTTTTCAGCAATATATACACATAAACAGATGCTTTTATTTAGTCACCTAAATAGATATTTATTCACAATAGAGAAATCTCTCCCCCGATATCTGCACTCACTTGGTCTTAATATACTTTACACGGAACTAAGAAAACTTGAATTCAAAACGATTACTTACATTGCTCACTATATTGTCCAGACACCTTATTAAAATTTATGATTTCTACATTTTTATGCATTCTTTAAAAGTCATACTTTAAGAAGTTTTAATCTTATTATTTTTGATCAATAAGTATATTTAAAAACATTAAATTTCAGAAGCTGAAACTGAATACCACATGTGTTCTGAAATACAAATGATTTTTGTATCTCCTCATGGTACCTAATAAACACACATCAAAGCCATTGTGAGATTTTGATATGAGATAATATCATAAACCATTCATATATAAGGAAAGGGATTATAATGTGAATTTTGTGTATTTGAAAATGCCTGAATGTACGAGTGTTTATCATGACAAAAATATCACTTTGCATCAGTAAATAAAAAGTGACATAAAATATAATCATTTAATCCAAAAATATATATATGACTGATATGTTTTTTATTCACGAATGTCATACCTGAAGAAAAGATTCAGCATGACACACAGTTTGGATGGTCATTTAATAGTAGGTCAGACTAAACCAAATAGTGGAAGCCAGTGAAATCTCTCAAAATAGGGTTTACAAGATCAGAATAGGTTTTTGGAGACTAGATATATGAAATATGATTCAAACAGCTTCATGGCCAAATTTTGAACATATATAAACATATGCACCTCAAAGACAGAATTTTGAATTTCAAATTTATTTTTGTTTTATTTCATATTTTATACAAATTTAGTGAACTTTTTTAATAAATTCAGTGATTTGAGAGTAAGTGGCATCACTATTCAAAACAAAATATTTTTGTCTCCAACACATAAGACTCTTGCCATTCAGCAAAACACAGGATATTAGTCTTTCAACTTGAATGTATGTTTGAATGTTTATCATACTGGAAAAAAAAAAAAAAAAAAAAAAAAAAGTGATACATAGAGAGATCAAATTTTAAGCACACGCAGCCTTCCACTCGAACATGTGCACTTTGAAGCCAGAATTTTAACCAACTTGGATAACGCATCTGATGTCGATGAATCGAAAGTCATCGAACATTCTGATCATGAAAATGACTCAGAAATTGAGGGAAAAGTTTCTAAACATCCTCATTTTCCTTCCTCAAATGATGTTTCCCCAACAAATGACGATTTTAGTGATGTTGAAAATGACATGAGAAATTGAAAATATGAGGACTTTTTTGTAAAAACAATTTACAAAAAGAAAAGGAAACTTATAAATGGAATAAAGTTCCCCTCAATTCGCTAGAATGCCTTGAAAAAATATGATGAAAAAAATATTTTAAGTGCCAAATCTTGTGACGACATTAAATGATGAGCTTTCTGCTTTCCAGAAAATCATAAATACAAGTATGATTGATGTTATCGTACAATCTACATATATTTATCTCAAATGTAACAGGACTGCAGATGAACTCTAAAACATCTCAAAGAGAAGCATGTATGATACTAATAGAGCAGAAATGTTGGCCTTTTTAAGAATTTTATTCTTATGTCAAAACTCAATTTGGAGGACGCATGGGCAAAAAACGGTATGGAATTGAAATTTTGCAAGGGGTCATGGGTCTCGAGCAATTCAGAAACCTGTGTGCTGCTATTAGATTTGACGATAAAGGCACAAGGTATGTGTGCAGGAAAACTGATAAGCTTGCTGCACTAAGAGAATTTTTTGAATCTTTCAATCAGAACTGTCAAAAACTGGTGCAAACTTTTATACACCAGGTGATGAAATCACAATCGACGAGAAGTTGAATCCTTTCTGCGGGAGATGCTCATTTATTCAATTCATCCCCAACAAGGTATGTAAATATTTGCAGTTGTTGAATCACGAACGTTTTATACATTGAAGCTTGAAATTTATTGTGGCAATCACCCCAGACCTTACTGGCTTCTAATTCAAGTATTGACATTGTCAAAAGGCTAATTGGTGCGTACGAAGATTCCAACCGTAACCTGACGACCGATAATTTGTATGCAAGCTACCCCCTAGCTCAATATCTTCTTATAAGGTATAACACTTGTGGGTATGCTGAATAAAAAAAAAAAAAAAAAAAAAAAAGGAATTTCAAATGAATTCCAGCCATCAAAAACAAGAAGTCCTCAATTCACTGTTTGGTTTTGAAAAGGATATGACAATTGTTTTATATGCAACGAAAAAAATAAGTGTGTACTACTGCTCAGTACTTTACACATGATGACAAAAGTGACCAGGAAACAAATAAACCTCACATAATCCTGGATTATAACAAATGTAAAGGTGGAGTTGACAATGTAGACCAACTTTGTAGTAATTTCTTTCACTGTCGCCTGAAAAACCAAGAGGTGGACAATGGCAATATTTTTTGCACTGTAAACGTAGCAGGCATAAATTCGCAAGTGCTCTTGAACTTCGCCAAACCTGATGCAACCATCAAGTTTAGAAGATATTTTTTGAAAAATCTAGCTACATCTTTGATGAAACCACATCTTCAGAATCGTCCGAAAATGCCATTTCTGTCGCATTTTGAAGCTATTAGAAGGCTGGTAACAACAGAAGCGGACAAGATGGTCGAAAGGGACAAGGACCCACTTGCAAAAAAGATCAAAAGACGCTACGTTGAGTGCGGTAGAATGAAGAATAATTATTACACTCCATAAAATGTTCTGAGTGTTCTAAGTTACTGCAAAATCATCCGGGCAAACATACAATTTTGGAAACCCTCTGCAGTGAACAGCAATCTGAAAATTAAAGTAGCAAAAGGTTTTTAATTTTTCATTTGTGAAATTTTTACTTATCGAATTTTCTTTGTGGAATATTATATTTGTAAATTTGATTACGATCTTATAATTTTCATACAGAAAATTATACAAAATACTATATAACTTTAAATTGTATTTCCAGTGCATTCCATTTTTGGAATTAATTAAAAATTCATAATTTCCATCTTTACTGCTTTTTTTCTGTTATTCTTTTTCTTATATCATTTTTACTATGATGAATTACATTATTAATGCCATGTATAAGATTAAATGGTTTCAGACACGAAGCAGAGGCTCTGAAAACGATCTGGTGTACTTCATACGCCACCCCTCTAAAATTGTACCATAAGCCAGCTCCTCCAGCTGAGGGTTAAACAATTTCTTTATGCAACTTTATGTCTTTCTAAAACATTTCATACTAAATTTTAGAATTAAATTATTATAGCTTAAATTTTGATAATCAAATGGTAACCAATTTTTAATCTAATTATGTGTGCATATTTAATATAAATACCCAATTTTTAAATATTTTTTTGAGAAATTGAAAAATAATCATTGTAAAATGTAGCAGTGGTATTAAAGTTTTTCAATTTTTGTTTAGATGGTATATGTTAGTCAAAAGGTTGAGAACCGTTGTGCTAGACTATTGTCATTTGGCAAAACATAAGATATTAGTCTTTCGGTTTAATCAACAAACTCTGCTACTGAAAAGCATTATGTTGCCACTCCCAGAAATAAAATACTTTTATCTTTTTGCGCTAGCATATTGCCATTCAGTAAAGAGTCAGATATTTAATTTGTTTGTAACGTAGCAAACTAAAGGATTTAAAAGTTGCGAACACAGATCTTAATAATATATTTTTACTTTTTAAGCTACTTGATTTAAATAAAAATGCATTTAAATTATGACATGTCTAATTAGAAATATAAAATACATATTTTTTGAAACTACACTAGTTGGACTTTAAATCATTAAAATTATATATTTCTTTCTTTTTCATTGTAACCATTTTAGGTGGCTGGAGATACCAGTAATTAGTTGGCACAAATATTTCAACTGCATTATTCAAAACCAGTTCCATAGTTTGGGCTTACATGCTTGCAAGCTTAATGATATGTGTTTTCTTAACAATATGTTATCATGCTCCCAGCAGGAGGGTGTCGCATGGAGACAAGGAAGAAATGAAAGCAATATTTTTTAAACAGGAAAGCCACATTTTACAGAGATCTACTGAATATAAACAACTTATCAGTTGGATGGAAAAACTTAATTGTAACACCTTTTTATTTCTGCAAAGAAGTGTTTGATTTGAAGAATGTGGAATGATAATATGAGGTAATACCTCCTCAAATGACTGTAAAAAAATATACATCATATGAAAGAGAAAACTGACTACTAAACTACTCAGCAAACTAAAAAAATTACTCAGCAATAT